TCTCTCAAACAAGAATAATGTTTGTGAACAACTTTTTTTAAAATGGAGAGGAGAAAACAAACTAGTCCTATCCTGATGATCACAGCATAACTACACCTTGATGTGCAGAAATGATACGTAAAGTGTGAGAATAAGGGAATTCTTAGACATGTCCTACAAGACTTTCCTATATCAGATCAGAACAACTTTAAAGGTCAAGTAAAGGCAAAAATACCTTCGTATGGCCATCACGTGGCTCTCTGCAGTGAGATATGAAACCTCCCCATCATTGGAAAGTCCACATCCCAGACATCTGTAAGATACTAATGGCAAAAGGAATGGACTGTGATGTAGATACAAGAAAAGCCTACTATGCCCATCACTGGAGAATATTGAGGGGTAGGTTTAAAGCCCTGTTGTGCTTTTTAAAGAGCAAGAGAAGCTAGCTTGACAGGTATAATATTCCCTTTCCATGAGGGAGGCCCTCACCAAAGACCCCGTCCTCCACAGAGCAGGCAATTAGAGCAGGTGTGTCCTCGCCAAAAGGAACGTTCCCAAGCACAGCACTACCTATCTCACTCCCTGCTTCAAATCCTTCCCAAGATCTGCACTGTCTGCAGAATAAGAAAAAACAACAACACAACTATGGCAGCCCTGGCTGGGTGGCCCAGCTGGCTGGAGCATCGTCCCATACACCGAAAGGCTGCAGGGCAGGGGTGCATACGATGTTTCTCTCTCTGTCTAAAATAATCAGTAAAACCATATCCTCAGGTGAGGATTAAAAAAACAAGCACTACTACGGCACATGCACTATGGGTTTTCCCGGATCTGTAAACCTACACACCAAAAACACTTATTTTCTTCCCGCATATCACACAGTCTTATCTACGGTTTCCCGAAGCATGTCACTTGTAGGTCAATTAAGTTTGGATACACAGGATTCACAAAGGTAAACAGGTTTCCTCACTGTCGAACCCGCCAAGCCTTTATTTGTGGCCATGTACCAAAGCTTCCAGAATTCCCCAAGACACCTCAATGGCCAGTGGCTTCATCCCTGCCTCTTCTCTAACACACCACCCTCTCCACTGTTCTGCCATCATGAAAGGAATTGTTTCCGTACTCACTCTCTCCTTTCTGACACGCACACCTCTCTACCCTCAGGGACCTGGCCTCCGCCTCTATCATGCCACAGACTGCAGTTCTTCAAATGTGACACTGGTTCTCGTGTCCCTTCATCTAAGAACTTGGAGCCTCTCCCATACCTTTTCTCACTCCTCTTGGCTTGGCTTTTTGTTTTCCTATGTTTGACTTGATTATTTTATTTTATTCTTTTTTTTATATATATTACAGATGTCCCTTTTTCTCCCCATTGACCCATTCTACCCTGTCCCATCCCCCTCCCCAGTCCCTCTCCCCACCATTTTCCATGTCCTTGGGTTGTGCATATATGCATATAAATTCCTTGGTTACTCTCTCCCCCTCCACCC